CCTTTAAAAACAAATGAACAAACAATAAGTCTGTTGTAGCTTTCTGAATCAAAGTCACTAAATTTGAAACAAGTTCAGTGTCATTTACGTCAGAACCCTGCAGACGTAATTTCTGCCCAAGAGATTTTTGATTTGAACAAGAGACACAATCTCCTGAGTGTAGACCAGTTTCCCTACAATTTCTCTAACTAGAGCCTCTGTTTTTCTCTTTCCCAGAAGTTAGTCTTGTTGTAAAGGAAGTATCTCTAGAGGGTTCCTCTAGGTCCCTCCACAACACCTGTGTGTCCCTTGAGTGTAGATGTCTTTGGAATATCAACACCTCATAGTTGAGAATGCTCTTCACTCTTGCAGGACATATATGGCAAAGCCATGTCCTGCTTACACACGCAGCCTGAAGGCAATTGTATATAATTTTAGTACATCTGTGTTTTCACTTACGTGAAGTCAAATTATAGAATTTTTTTTTTTCAATTAGGGCTATAATGTCAGCACTCAGTACTTTTGGATTTGGGGATTACGAATGTACGATTTGTGCCATGCTTCCTGAACATATCCTTAGTTCTGAGCTGGAGATGTGGCGGAAGATTTCTCGATTTATGGCAAGTGCCAACTCTTAGTATTTTGAAACAGAGTTTCTGTTTTTGTCAGATCGAAAAGTAAAAGCTATTTAACACCATTTACTGCTATTCCCTCATCTCTGACTGGGAGCTCTCATGTACTGGCAGGATCGGGGCACATCAGGGCAGCTAAAGGAGTTGGGAATTCACAAAAATACATGGAAGGAGTCATGATGTTGGAAGATACGTGATCATGGTGCATTGCCAAGGTTACTCCAACCTCTTCCTGTCTCTTTATGGAATTTTCGTTCCCAGTCCCTGCAGTTAGTATAATAGTTGTTGTAGTTTGGGTCTTCAAGCATCCAGTCATCCATCCATGGAATATCTGAGTGACTTCACTGGCTCGAAGCCCTGTCTTCTACTCTGTCTCACATATTTTATTTCACACCTCTATCTCATGTCCATCCAGACCTCTGTCTCCCCCCAACCCCATCCCTTCATCTTCCATCTTTGCCTTCCTCACCCCAGCCTGCTTCCCGCTATGAGCCGCCATCTTTTGGCCTCGATTGCTTGCTCTGTCCTCTCCGGCCCTCAGGACTCTTTTCAAAGTGAAATCCGACTTTCCCACCTTCATTCCTTCCTACAGGCTTCTCAGTGGTCCCCCATTGTTCACTAAAGACAAGATCCCTGAAGAGACCCGCTGGCCTTCTTGGCCTGGCTTGTCCTTCCCCTTCCTGGCCCCCAGGCTGGCTTCCTTCCTGCCCCTGAACTCAGGCTCTCCTGCATTAGAGGGGCTTCCTCTGTGACCCCTGACCCTCACAACTCCAGGCATCCCTGCTTTGTCCCTCCGCGTTGGGGACACTCTTTCCTCATCTTGGAGGCTCTCGCCGACCATCATTTACAGTTCACAGTTGAGCATTGTCATGCTTGCCTCTGGTCTCCAGGGGTAGGAACCAGGGCTGTCTTTGCTTCCTCTTGAGCCTGGCTTTTGAGGACACGAGGCGTGCATTTGACTAGAGCCACACAGGCAGGACATGAAATACCCCTTTGGGAAGATGGGACCGTGTCACAGAAAGACTGGCTCTCCTGCTCTTCTCGGCCACAGTGCCCTTTCCACCTCTCCATCCTTTCCTCCGGCTCTACAGCTGCCTGCCGCTGTCAGAGTCGGGAGGGTGGGGGACAGACTTCTGCTGTGGATGTACCTTTGCTCTGTGTGGTTATGAATTAGAGGCTTTCCAGAAAAATCATCGGGTGCTCGCTACTCTACCCACCTTCTCTTTCAAAGCCTTGCCTTTCCTGTGGGCTACTTCCAAATGCTACAGTATGTCCAAAAGATAGGCCATGAACACTATTGTAAAACTAGTTCCCCCCCCCCAGACAATTATGATTTAATGGCTTAGGCTTAATTTACAAGCAAGCGCTTTCTCTTTTTCTGTGTGTGTCATTTCAAGGGAAATATTGGGTATTACTAAGAGTTGGTCCCGTAGCTCTGCTCTCTTATCAGGACTTGAAGCTCATTTTACCTTCCAGAAAGATTTAGGGTAGAGTTAAAACATTTCAACATCAGTCAGTTTATTTTGTATTGTGGTTTCTCCTACGTTATTTACATACGTGCGCGCGCGCGCGCGCGCACACACGCACACACACACACACACACACACACACACACGAGAGAGAGAGAGAGAGAGAGAGAGAGAGAGAGAGAGAGAGAGAGAATGAGCGAGCTGTGGTCAGTGAGACCAATAGCCCAACGTGTTCTCTCCTCTCTTTCCCTGACAAATGATTTAGGCAAGGTTCACGCTGGACACAGAGCCTTGGGTAAACATGCCCTTTGTTTCCTTTCCTGTTGGAGCCTGTGGTGAGGGCTACCCCCTTTGCGCTGCTCTTTCAGGTTAAGATTGCTGTGTAATTGAGGTGGACCCATGCTGTCTCCACCATAGCACTTTCAGCCCAGGATTCTCGTGGTCCCATAGCAGATGATGACGGCATGTCCTGGTTTGTGTTGTCCTGGAAGACAGGCTGCCCCTGCTGGAGCTCCCCTGTCCTGAGCAGGAAGCCCACGTTGAGGGACTTGTGAACTGCGTCATTAGCTAAGGAGCATTCGTGTGGCCCTGGTCACCTCTGGGGACTCTGGCCCATCATATCTCCTCCCTGCCTGCCTTTCTGCTCCTTTGTCCAGTCGATGTTTGGCAATTCCAGATAGTTCCAGAACCAGTAAGTCTTGATCGCCGCTGCCACACCTGGGAGATGCAGCTAGAGCCTTTAGTGTGCATTTGATTCCTGTCGGCTACTTTTCATTGTCAGAATGGCAGAAGCAGGGCACGGTCCAGCGGAGTAGGGGGGTGTCTGCAATACTGAGAACAGACACCAATATTGGGAAGCGTTTACTAAGACACTGCCGTGTTTACTAAACATCAAGATATGTGTCTGACCCGTTTTAAAATATGTCCTCCAAAGGATTTTCTTCCTTTTCATTTTATGTGTATGTATGTATTGAACATGAGAGTATGTATGTGTACCACATGTGTGCAGGTCTCTCCCCCTGCCCCCCCCCGCTCCATCCCCCCCACTCCCCCCCCCCCCGCACTAGAATTACAGGTGGTTGTGAGCCACCCCTCATGAGTTCTGGTATCGAATCTGGTTTCCTGCAAGTAGCCCCCCCCCCCGACTACTAGTATTTTCCCAGGTTCCCATAGTGTCCAGTTAGTGTTCCATTGCTATGAAGAGACACAATAGCCAAGGCAATTCAGAAGTATTGAAATCACAGGCTTGCTTGCAGTTTTAGATGGTTTGCCCGTGGTTATTATGGCAGGAGGAAGCCAAGAATGACGCAGGAGTAGTAACTGAAAGCTTTCCATCGTGATCTACGGGCAGCTGCAGGCAGACAGAGGGAGACACTGGCTCTGGCGTGGGCTTTTAAAACCTCAACCCCCCCCCCAGTGATACACATCTAACAATATGACCACACCTCCCAGTCCTTTACAAGAAGTTCCACTAACTGGGGACCAATCATCCAAACCCTACAGGGGTCAGGCTCATCGAAGCCAGCACACACAGCAGTTAGTGAACACTAGGTGGGAAGAGTCACTGCACCCTGGACCTTCATCTGCTTTGTGTTCAGTAAAGCAAGTGCATAAGATAGTGGCCATCACTTTCCTTTAACAATGACCAGACAGACCTGTTTGCCTTGCTCCCTTGACAGCAAGGGCATCATCATCAGATTTTATTCTATTGTTTGGGCTTCCTGACTTTCCCCCATGCGTTATAGTTTGGGATAGCCTAGAAGGAGGTGGAGGAGGGGGAGGAGGAGAAAAAAGGAAGAAGGAGAGAAAGAAACTAAGGAAGGAAGGAAGGAAGGAAGGAAGGAAGGAAGGAAGGAAGAGGCTTTAGTGCTAGACATGTCCAAACATAGAAGGAACAGGTTTCAACAGCAGAGTAACTTTCCAGCTTTTGAGAATGTTGGGTGCCCTTGTTATTTTCTGTCACTGGGAAGAAGGCCCGAGTACAGTCAGCTGCACAGGGAGGTGCCTCATGAACCCTAAAGTGATTGCTTAAAAAGGCCAGGATGACTTTGATGCAAGTACCTCTTCAAGCTTAATTTAAGAAGTGGGTTTTGGGTCCTAGAGACAGGTGGCCGAGCCATTAAAGGCTCATAACCAAAGATATAAGTAGTGGTTAGTGTTTTGGATGATTTAACCAAGCGTGGTTTTCTTTTGCAAATCTCTGGACCTCATCATCTAAGGCCTCTTCTCACAGCTTGGACTCTGCTTCCTGAAGCATGACTTTTTTTTCCAATTAATGCAACTCAGAGCACTAAAATGCTTCCGCCAAATAGAAGGTTCTTCCTGTCCGACCCATGTAGACGTGTGCTCTTCTTTTAGGGGATGTTCTGGTTATACTGATGGCAGTTACTTATATCTCTCTAGAAAGAGTAGCGTGCCTGGCCTGAGCCTTCCTGCTTGTCCAGTGAGCAGTGCTGGCTGCACAGTCCCCTACAGATTGCGCCTTGCTCGGAGACTTTGTGCTCGCCTCTTTCTGACCAATGAGAGGGTCCCAGGTCTGAGTCTTAAGTAGGAGGCTGAAGAGACAGTTATGGACACATGAAGTGTGTGTGTGTGGGGGGGGGGAGGAATCTGCGGAACTTCCTGGAAAAGCAGAGCAGACACTATCACACCATCACCACACTATTAAGGCTATCCCGGTAACATCCTTGCCGCTGGGTCCATAGCATGGAGTCAAACAACAGAGGAAGTTTCCACAGCGCCATCACCGAGGAACTGGATAGTGAAGGAGCGTGCTTATAGTCCATGTTGTAGACCATGAAGCCAACGTCGTCACCCGTGACTTCTGGGGCGGGCGATTTGATTAGGCAAACTAACCATTTCCTTTTAGGCCATTTGCCAGGACAGGTTTTAATATCCATGTACCCTGTCCTTTGAACAGCATCCTGGTGGAGAAGAAGTACTAAGGGAACAGGCCGGGGGTGACGCTACTGAGAACTTTGAGGACGTCGGGCACTCTACTGACGCTCGAGAACTGTCCAAAACCTACATCATCGGGGAGCTCCATCCCGTAAGTCACTGCCTGGATTTGTATCTACAGAAATTGTACAGAAAGAATAGAACAAAGACAATTTCTTGTGATTTAAGAATACTTTGTTAAAGACAGGGTCTCAGTGAATAGCCCAGGCTGGCCTGAAGCTTCTTATGCAGCCCAGGCTGTCCTGGAACTCACTCCTCGGGCCTTCATCTCTCACATGCTGGGATTATATGCATCACCATGCCTAGCCAGGACACCATTTTTGTCATAAAATGAATTGGTTGAACCTTTTTCTTTGCTTTACATTTTTTTGGTTATAGTTATTAGTTATGCCTGCACTCAGAGTCAGAATGCTGTCCTCCAGGGCCCTGTCCCAGGGACACCCCCGTCTCTGAGAGCTCGCAGAGAGACACTTCCAAAGGGCAGAGCATCGGTCCAGTCAGTTTGTTCTCCTTCAGTCAGGGGAGTGAGGGTAGCCATGAGTACCTTCCCTGATGACAGGCAAACAGCCAGCTACTGCAGCCCAAGTAAGCAAACAAGAATCTTTAAAGAAAAGGTAACTAGACATAGGCATATCCTATTTTTATATATGTCTTATTATATGTGAATGATGGCTCTTGTAAGAACCACAAATGAAGAAAAGATAAAAGTAGGCTCTTTTTAAAAGTCCCAGAAATCCATTTTAAAGCCCATTCTGTTGAACTCTGTGTGTGTGTGTGTGTGTGTTCCTGTGTCTGTTTGCTTTTCTATTATCTTTTGAATTTGCTGGGTCATATGTACATATGTACTTTGAGAGACTCTGCCTCACTTGTCTGGAAGGTTTATCAGCCCACACATTTTCATAATCATGCTTCCCAGAAGTAACATGGGCGTGTTGCATCTGCAAGCTGTGTCCTTGCAAGCATTCTTCCCTGTCCTGTTCCTTTAAGTTCTGTCCCCATGAGAGGGGAGGGTGGGTTTCAATTAGGTCACCTCCCTGAGAGCTTTTTCTGTGGTCAGCATTTAGATGCCCTTGAATTTTTACATCCTCAGCCTGGGGTTTAAATAGTTTATAATTACATTTCTGGGGGGATTGCAGGCTTCACTGAGGCCTGCAGACAGATACATATCTCAGTGAACTGGAGACTGGAGAAGGAAGGGAAGGGTTTTTTTGCCTTCAATTGCTCTCTGAATTGATCGTCACAGTTCAGCTCTAGTAAGCCTCTAAACACCTGCACATTTAAACAAGACAGTCAAGGATCCATTCTAAACTCTGGGACTATGGATGCAAACGCCTCTGTTCCTGAAATCTACTTACTGTTAATTTTTGTTGTCAAACCACACGGATCAAACTTTGTATTTTGCTGAATGCCAAGTGCTATTCATTGAATAGTAATTTTTTTAAAATTCTCAAAAAAGTCAGCCCTGTGAAATATGAGACTTTTCCAGATGTCCTATTATTCTTAATGACCACCCCTCTCTCTTTTCCTTACAGGATGACAGATCAAAGATAGCCAAGCCTGTGGTAAGTTTGCATAAACATCTCAGGGGAGTGATGGATGGAGTAACTGTGTATCTTCATTGCATTTAGTACAAGTCAAACTAGGGCAAAGACTATACAGGTCTTTATAGGTAAGGTAGAGATGTAACTTATTGGCTTTGCAAAGTTTGGCTTGGGGATTTTTGTTTCTTTGTTTGTTTTGTTTTGCTTTTTACCAGTCCATGTGGTTTTGAGGAGAGCTTGTATGTTACTTTGTATAACAAATATATTACTTTTTAAAACATCGTAATTGTCAATAAATAAAAGTGTAGTGCTAGCCTAACATGCATGAAGCCCTGAGTTCAATATCCAGTATCAAACAGAGTATGCCAAGTAAAGCAGCATTGTGCTTCTCTGTGAAATATGTAACCTAAGCCTTATTTTCAGAGGACTTAACACCTGTTCCAGTTGAGGCGTGTTTTCCACTGCTAAGTGGTGATTACAGCTTAAACTCTCAAGTGTCACAAGCGAGTGTCTGCCCCCTCGCACTAACTGTTCGGCACGCAATAGTAGTGTGCCTCCAAAGAGCTCTTTGGTGTCTCCTGTGATTGTGTTTCTTCTAATAACTGAATAATGTTGTTTGTATATTTAATTGTCTCTCATAATCAGTGTTAGTTATACTCATGTACTCTTGAAAAGTAACCTTGTCCTGGCTATGAATTCCTATGGTTACCAGGATTTGAAAGTGCTTCAAAAGATAACAGGTGTGATGTATTCTTTTTAAGTGACTTGTTTTTCTTCCTCTACTGTGTCAGGAATCATAAAGGTGATGTGTCAAGGTTGGTGTGTGTTGCTGGGCCGCTTTGCTTGTGCACCCCCTAAAATGAACTTACCTTTTAAAAAAGTCTCCTTAACATGCCTTGCGGGGTACTGCTTTGCCTTGCTACAAACAGGTGCTTGCTTTACTTCATCTGCGCTGCAGGAAGCTACAGGTGTCCCTTTCCGATAGAGCCGGCCTGTGTGTAGCTGCTTTTGTTGAGACACTAACAGTTTCGCTGGTGTGGAATATTATGAGTACTTCCTAACACGTGTTAAAGCCTAAGTGTGTGTGCTTCAGATTTTGGACAGTTTGGGGAAATACCTGTGTTTTGTTTTTTGTTTTTAAATGGTGCTCATGAGAAGGGCTGTGCTTAGAAAGTGCTGGAAGAGGACTGGAGAGATAGCGCAGCCATTATAGGATAGGCTCACAACCAAAAAAATATAGGAAAGTGCTGGAAGGTAAACACCTTAATGTTTTTGTTTATGCAGAGTAGTTTCTCGGTTAATCGGTTAATCTGTGCTCTTCCTGGAAGGGAGAGAAGTCTCAGAAAAGCATATGACCTGACAATTGTTACCGTTTTGGTTGACACACTTCTGTGTGGTTTAGGTGAACTTTTATTCCCTATCGGATTTGAATGGAATAAATGACATTTTTATCTCATATCCCACGCTTTGAAGAATTAAATGTCCCTTCCAAAAAACAGTAACGCAGTCTTGTATATGTGTCCATGTGCTTAAATGTTAAGTGTGGATTATTATATGTATTCTATTAACATTTCCAAATTGTAAACTTAACGTTCTCAAGTAATTTAAATATGGTGCTTAAACTTTCATTTTCTTGAAAAAGGATGAAATCTGGCTTTTTTTTAGTAAGAACTCGGACATAATTATCCCTTTTAACAATTTTTAAAAGATAGTAGTTGGATAAAATGATTATTTTTTTTTAAATCTTAAAACAGGATTTAATTGTGTGTGTGTGTGTGTGTGTGTGTGTGTGTAATGCTCGGATGTGTACTGAACTCCGTGTCTTCTTTTGTGTTCCAGGAAACTCTTATCACTACTGTGGATTCTAATTCCAGGTCGTGCACTCGGTGTGTGGGAGTGTGCAGCGTGTGCCTCCTATTTGTGTGCATGTGTGAGTGTGGTGGTGCGTGTGTGTGTGCGTGTGTGCGCGCGCGTGTGAGTGTGCATGTGTGAGTGTGTGTGCGCGCGCGCGTGTGCGTGAGACAAGGTCTCATGGAGGGCTCAGGAGGCAGAGCTGATGGACACCTCCCCGTCTGTCCGATCCTCTGCTTAGACCCCCACTGTGTGTTTCTCGGCCACCTATCAGGACGAGATTCCACGAGGGCCCAGACCGCTGGGGCTTTCCACCCTAGACTGTCAGTTGGAGCTGTCAGCAGTTTTCAGAGTGACTCCAAATACCATCACCCTCTGCATGTACCCACCAGAGACAAGTAGAGTTCCTTCTTTCCACGGCAGCCAGCCCCTTGGCTGATGAGTGCTGTCCATGGTGGTTCTTACAGGCAGAGTTCAGTTTCTTTCATTCCGGTGCTCACTATGTTTTCAAAAGCAAGGTTCAGCTTCATCGGGGGTCACTTAAGCATCTCTTTGCTCTCGTGTCTTTCTAGTTGGTGGACCAACTGGGTGATCCCGGCCATCTCAGCCCTGGCTGTAGCCCTGATGTATCGCCTCTACATGGCAGAAGAGTAACTTGCCTCTCCACGCCAAGGATGGGAAAGACTGCCCCGGAGAAGGGAGAAAAGAAGCCAGTGTTAATCACTTTCACTGACAGGAACCTTCCCCTGAGAAAGTAATTGTAATATATCCGTTTCCCCTTCCTTCTGTGTTAGTTAACAAATAAGGAACCCTTTGTACTCTTAGACTTTTCAAATGTGCCTTTTTACCCATCAACTTCATTTTGATGTTTCTTCACTACGTAATTTACTTATTGTAAGCACGATCTTTTTAAATATATCTGGCTTTTAAAGTATACCATTTGTGCCTGTTTATTTGGTGCTGCCTTGGTTTATTTAACAGAATTCTTTAATGTGCTGATTACTCAGACCCTGGTTGTGTGTGTCAGCAGCCCCAGGGCGAGTGATTGTTCTCGTATAATTATTCAGTGACAATTGCAATTAACACATGCCTATTATGTGTTTGTATATTATTAGTTGCTTTCTTGTCTCTGACTAAATAACTGAATGAAGTATCTGCAAGGAAAGGGAGAATATGAGTCCCCATCATGGCCAGGAAGGCCTAAGGGCTATGGTGCAGGTCTGTGACGACGCTTCTGAGTCAGGGAGCGGAGAGCTAAGGCTAGAAACAGAAGTGGATTGTCATCTTTAATGACCCATTCCTGCTAGCTAGGCTCTAGAGGCAAAGGTTCTACCACCTCCAGACATGGTGCCACCAGATGGGGCCCAGATGTTCAAACACATAAGTTTGTGGGGATATTTCACAATCTGTAAATTCCCAATGTTGTTTCTTTCTCAAGAAGATTCAGAAGTTATATCTAAGATCGGTATTTTTTTTTCCTACTTGAAATGCGTGATACAGTATGAAAGTGGCCTACACCATCTATAAAAGAGGCCCCTCATCTTCTGTGTATGGTAGATCACAGCAGCTTGAACCAGCTCGTGGACTGGGGAAGGCTGCTGTAACTGCCTGTTCTGTGTTTAAACGTCATTCCCCAGAGACTCTCAGTTTCGTAACTTTTGAAGTTCCATAAATTCCCCACCAGGAGACAAAGGCAGTGTGTGTGTGTGTGTGTACTCTTCTTAGGAACTACCGATCAAGTGAGTCATCAACACACAGACCTGGAGATGCTTGCTGCTTGCCTTTCGGCAGGACCCTGGCTGCTGAGGGCTGTGAGAAGTTTGGTGTGGCTCGCTCCCTCCCTCCCTGGACCTCTCATGAGCTGATCCAGGTCAGGAAGCTTTTGCTGTTACCCCCTGCCTGGCGCATCATCAGTTCCCATGGCTTTTCTTCTTAAATGGGGATGCCCAAGGGAGTGATTTACTAGATGGTAAGTGAATTTGCACCGAGCTGGGACAGCGTTACCGGAAGTGGTGCTGTTAAGGAACAGCACACCGGAAAGGAATGTTGCCGTAGTTACGGAGCATGGGTTGTTTTTTAAGGATATGTTTCAGTTACTTTTATTGTGTGTGTGGGAGTGTTTTGCCTACACGTATGCACTTCATGGGTGCCTAGTACCCAAAGAGGCTAGAATGTTGGATGATTGTGAATATGGTTGTGAGCACGTGGGTGCTGGAATGGAATCCACGTCTTCTGCACGATCAGCAGAATGTAACCACCGAGTCATCTCTCCAGCACCACTGAGTGTGGATTGTTTTGTAGTCGGTGGCATGAATCCCCCTTCCCCATTAGTTTCCACAGCGCCGCGCTGAGTCCACACAAGATCTTGTGCATGCTAAGTATGTTCTGTGTCACTGAGCCACCCTCCCAGCCACTCTTGATCCTCACTAATTCTCGTTGTGCAGCAGGAAGGGTCAGGGTCTGGCAATAGCGTGTGTACCTTTTCCATATCGTGCACTCTTCAGGTTTCTGCCTCTAGACATTGCTGCTGTGCTAAGGCAGAGAGCTGGAGACAGAAGACTAAGGAGCTGTGAACTGGAGTTGGCTAGCGCATGTGCATGCTAAAATAAGTTATATACTTGTTAAGATTGTCACATTTTGCTAGAAAGCATCAGACTTCAGTGCATTCTAAAACATTTCCACTAGATCATCTATGAAGTAATCTACATGGATTTATCATGTCCCAGATGGAGTCGGGATTAATTTATAAATCAATTTTACCATCTGCTTATTTGGGAGGGAAGGTGTGTACACATTAGTGTGGAGGTCAGAGGTCATCTCAGGCACTATTCCTCAGGAGCTCTCTCCTTGGCTCTTGAGACAGAATCCCTTACCTGGCTTGAAATTAGGCTAGGCTGGCTAGCCAGCGAGCCCCAGGCATCTGCTTGCCTCTGACTCCCTCAACGTTAAATTAAGCATGCATCACCATGCCCAAGTTTTACATGGGGCCAGGGACTGAACTCAAGCCTTCACTCATGTCTGTTCTGCAAGCACTGTTCGCCACTGGGCTAACTCCTTAGCTTCAACCAATGCTTGCCCTTACGGGCTGTACCACGTAGCTGAACCTGGTGGTCAGTGTTTCTTCATGTGAGAACAATGTTGTACAGAGAGGAAGAGTTAGAGTTTGTACAGCCAAAATCTCAAGTTAAAAAAAAAAAAAAGAGAAGACATTTTTGTGTGTGTGTGTTGTGTGTGTGTGTTGTATGTGTGTGTTGTGTGTGTGTGTTGTATGTGTGTGTGTTGTGTATGTGTGTGTTATGTGTGTGTGAGTGTGTGTTGTGTGTGTGTTGTGTATGTGTTATGTGTGTGTTGTGTGTGAGTGTGTGTTGTGTGTGTGTTGTGTATGTGTGTGTATGTGTGTTGTGTGTGTGTTCTGTGTGTGTTGTATGTATGGTGTGTGTGTTGTATGTGAGTGTGTGTGTTGCGAGTGTTGTTTGTGTGTGTTATGTGTGTGTTATGTATGTGTGTGTGTGTTGTGTGTGTATGTGTGTTATGTGTGGTGTATGTGTGTGTGTGTTGTGTGTGTGTTATGTGTGTGTTGTATGTATGGTGTGTGTGTTGTATGTGAGTGTGTGTGTTGCGAGTGTTGTTTGTGTGTGTTATGTATGTGTGTTATGTGTGTGTTATGTGTGTGTATGTGTGTTGTGTGTGTGTATGTGTGTTATGTGTGTGTTACGTGTGGTGTATGTGTGTGTGTGTGCTGCATACACAGAAGTCTATGGCTCTGAACGCCCTTGTGTGTACAGAGAGAACAGAGCAGGGTGTCAAGTGTCTGTCCCCATCATTCTGCAATGTTGCTTTGAGGCAGGGTCTCTCATAGAGCCAGAAGCTTGAAGTTTCTTAGCCTGGCTGGACAGGGAGCCCTTTGACTTCACCCCTCTGCTTCCAGAGCTGATGTTACACCCACTGACAGCTGTGGACTTGAACTCTGCTTGCAGAGAAAGTACACCTACCTCCTGTAATAGTTTATAATATTCTCTCTACCATTTTCCGTTCAGAGAGTTTAAGGTTCCCATAGCTTCCTGTTGCACTTTATTACGGTGTCACAATTCAGAGTGGCAGAGTTGCGGGAGATGCCCTGCAGCACCCCTGTCACCAGGAGGAGGCTGGTCCCTTGGGTCAGGTACAGCTCATGTTCCATTCCTCTGGCTCAGTGGCTCCTTTCCCATACTGAGTGCAGCAGGTTGGTCTTGTCTGTCAGGTTTCCAGACAGTGCCCATGGCATCTGTAGGGGACAGTTCCCTTGGAGGGTGGCCCTTTTGAGGGGTGTTTGAGTCCATTTCTGAGTCTGCAGCTTCTTTATGGGACTGTGTCCTAGGTGCTGCTGGAACAAAGCTGCTCAGACTCTGACTTAAAACAAATTACTTCTCATAGCTCTGGAAGACAACCCTTGGCGGGAGTTTCCAACTGTGCCTGGTTCCCTTTGAGACTAGTGCTTTCCAGTTTCTTCTGGCTTCCTGTGGTAGCTTTTAGCTCTTACAAGCCCTTGGTTGACAAATCTATCATTTTAATACATCTCAGTTAGCAAGTATGTCAAATTTAGGGCTAGCATCTTGGTGGTTATGTCTCCAAACCCTTGCACCCACACACAGGCATAGTGCTTCTGTCTTCCAGGGACACAGGTGAACTTTTAATCTCTCTCCTTCCCTCTCCTTTTTCTCAACATGGATCCCAGAGCCTCACAAATTTGAGCCAAGTGTTTTACCACTGAGTTATAGCTCCAGGCCTGATAGTTTAACTTTTGACTTAAATAAAGAGCACTGTGTAAGGGAGGGCGGGTGGGCTTCGCTGTCTCTTGGTGGTCTGTGTTGGCATATGTGTCTCTGTGTCAGTTCTGCATATGACATGTCTGAGTGAGCTCTGCACATAGGTATACTGAGATCTCTCAAACCAGGTTAGCTGAAAAACAAGTCTGCTCAAGGACAGAGTTATTGTGAATGCCATCAATTCCATTCTTCACAAAGAAGAAGGAAATAAGTGAAATAATTATGCTTGTACTAACAGACTAGAACCTCCTGGGTGTGGGAGATACAATGCAAAATATGCAATTGAAAAAAATAATAATATCTGTAACCTAGACAAGACTAACACTTGCTATGAAAACATGAGGGGCTGAGTTCAAATCCCCAGAATCCACGTAAGCTGGATGTAACTATGTGCACCTACAACCCCAACACTATGCAGGTGTTAGAAACAGAGTCACTGGATTCCTTCAGGTTCAGCGAGAGACCTGGTCTCAAGGCAGTGAAGTGGAGAGAGACAGTCAGATGTCCTATGTCCTCTGACTGCCACAGGACTCAAGAGAAGGTCCATACAGTTCTTGGAAGAAAACAAGTATAAATCTGAGTGACTTGGGGTCAGACAATGGTTTCTTCAATAAAAGCACCAAAAGCACAAATAACAAAGAAGAAATAAATACACCAGAATATAAAATGAAAATCATTTGTGTTTCAAACGACACCATTGAATAAGAATAGAGAAATAGAATGGATGGAAACATTTGATTCTATATCATATGAGAGGGATTTACATTTATGATACATTAGAAAAACAAAACATGAAACTCAAAACACAGAGACTCACAACTGGTATATAGAGTCAGTGACTGGAATACTTAACCCTACATGGGACACATGCATCATATCTCCTACTCAGGGCTCAGGGAACCCTGCAGAAATGGGCGGTAGGAAGATCATAAGAACCCAAGGTTGGGGAGGGTTTCTAGGCACAACAGGACTGTGGCATTCATGAACTCAATGTTCTTGTGGATTCCAGTATAAAACCAACACAAAGATTCAAATGATTATATAGTGATTAGCTGGCTCTTATTAGTAATGTATTTTAAAACCTGAAAGAAAAGTTATTTGGAATGTTTCCCCTACCTCTGCCAAAAAGTA